TAATTTTTTTGATAAAAGAGCATGTTTTGAAAGTTATAATATAATTGTTTTAGAGAAAATAAGTAGAAAGATTAAAATATGTGTAGGAGATTTCAAGAATAGATTTATCAAAGCCTTGTTTGGCTAGTAGATCAGTCTAATTATGAATAGAGTTTTTTGAATGTGATTTAACTTTAACAAGGATAATAAAAATATTTTTAGTTAACTTAATAGAGTTGATAATTGTAATTATATCTTAGTTTTTGTTTTGGATAAGTTTAGGAGGTAAAAGGTTAAGTAGGTTGTTGATTGTTGCTAAGTTGTTAATGAGAATAGTGATTGTAGAATTAATTGATAAAACTAAGAGAAGAGAAATAACTGTACTTAATTCAGAATGAGAGAAGTCTGGAGAGGAGTAAATTGTTGTATTAAATTTAATAGATAGATTATTTTCACAGATTTAGCCAATACTAGATTGCAAATTTGGAGTTTGAGTGTTTTTAATAGAAGTATTAGTATAAAACCAAAATCTAGATATATTTAAGTTTGTAATATTGTTATATATTTGAGTTAATAGATTTTGATAATAAGAAGTTTTGATAATATGATGTATTAATATATTTTGTGAGAGAAAATATAAATTTGGGGTTGTTGTAAAGTGGAGGTTGGGGTTAGGTTTAAAATAGTAATAATTTTAGTTATAGCTATTATTTCTTTATGTATTAGCAAAATATATAAACATAATCTTATGCAAAAATTATGGACCGCAATATTGTGCAATAATTATGATTAATGCACAATATTGCGCAGTAATCTAAAACGTAATATTACACAAAAATATTATGAAATATTACATAATATATTAAAAAAACTTTCAATTAATGCTGGAACATTTCAAATAAATTCAAAATAATTCACAATTTTTTGCAACATTTTGCAACAATTCAAAAAAATTTGAAAATAGTCGAAAAAATTCGATATAATTCAGATAATTTAAACAAATGTTATAAAATAAATAATAGTAATTTGAAAGTTTAAAATTTGATTTATTTTGATTAAATTTAATTTATTTCAATTTATTTAGATAAATAAAAAATACTAAAAAGTAATATACTAAATTTTTATAGTAAATTATAGTAGAATAATTCGAACTATTTCAAATATATAAATTTCATATATATAATTACAATTAATTTTATAGCTTAAAACTATAACTTATTTTATTTAAAAAAAAATTACATATAAAAAAAGTGAAAATATTAATAATTCTAAATTAAAGAAATATATAAAAAAAAAAAAAAAAATATAGCATTATTCAAATATAAAAAAAAAACAAATCAAAAAAAAACTTTTACTTATTATTATCCGTATCATCATTCTTTTTTCTCTCTTTATTATCATCACCACTTGAGAATAAAGAACTAGAAGGTGAGGATTTAGAATTCTTATCTTCCAGTTCTTTTTTAGCCTCTTGGTCTTTATCCGAATCCAATTGAACTAAATTAAAATAATATATATCATGATTAAATAAACTTAAATTAAATCACAACTATTTGAAATATAGCAAATTAATTCAAACTATTTCAAGATTGTAAATTATGTATTATTTACTATATCTAGATCTTTTATTAGTCTAAAAATAATTTAAATTATATTAATATAATTCGATTTAATTCTAATTAAGTAATGATTCTTAACTGAACTAAAGAAAATTTTTGTATAATGTAAACTAAAATGTTTTTTAAAATAGCAGAAGTTTTTACTAAATTAATAGTTTATATAAATTAAGTAAAAGTTGTAAAGCTTATCGAGACGCACCTAATAGTAGTTAAATTTTAAAATTGGTTTAGTGGTTGTTGAGATATTGTTAAAAACAAATTTTAACTATGGTTTGTATATAAATTTTTATATAGTTAGCCAATAGTTTTTTAGTGATATCTTGGCAATCATTAGATCAATTTTAACGATTTAACTACCATTAGGTGCATCTCAATAAGCTCTACAACTTTCAATTATTTTATATGAGCTATTAACTTAGTAAGAAAAAAGTTTACCTTGGATGAATGGCAGATTAGCGATTTTATAGTAAATTTTTGTATAACACAAAAATTTACTATATAATTGCGAATCTGCTATTCATCCAAGATAAACTTTTTTTCTTACTCAGTTAATAGCTTATATAAAATAATTAAAAGTTGTAGAGCTTATTGAGATGCAGCTAATGGTAGTTAAATCGTTAAAATTGGTCTAATAGTTGCTGAGATATTACTAAAAAACTATTGGCTGACTATATAAAATTTTATATACAAACCCTATAGTTAAAATTTGTTTTTAACAATATCTCAACAACCACTAAACCAATTTTAACAATTTAACTACCAATAGGTGCATCTCTATGAGCTTTACAACTTTCACTTAATTTATATAAACTGTTAACTTAGTAAAAAATCTTGCTATTTTAGAAAACATTTTAGTTTATATTATACAAAATTTTTTTTCAGTTCAGTCAAGGATCATCAATTAAATAATTTTATACTTTTTTAGATTTGTTTGATATTTTTTTATGCTTTCTAACTTGATTCTAAATTTAATAGATTTAATAATTTAAATATATTATTTTGAAGCTATTGAAATAATTTTTTAATTATTTAAATAAATTTATATTTTATTAACTTTATCTAAATCATTTCTATCATGTTTATCTTTTTTTTTAGTATTTTTTTCGTCTTCAGAACTTAATACACAAAAGATGTTATCATGCTCTAATTTATTCTAATAAATTCACAATAGTTTGAATTAGTTTAAATCAATTTAATTCTTTATAATATAAATATAAATAAATATTTACCAAATTTTTAGCAATTAATCTTTTAACAATATTATTCAAAATTGTTATTTTATCATATTTAGAACTAAGCATTGTTTGACTTACAGCTATAGTATATGCTATATTATCAAGAGAAGCATTATTATTAGGCCAAACTTTACTCAAAATTCTAGTTATATATATATCTTCCGAATCTTCTTCAACTTTATCAAAAAGTTTCTTATAACAGGCTCTAGTTTTTTCAGATTTCTTCTATTTTAAAACTTTTTCTAAAGATTCTTATTATTTATATATTCTAACTAGTTCCCAAATATGAAAAATATAGATAATTTAATTTTAAGTATCAAAGTTTTTCACAACTCTCTAATTTTTTTTAAAAACTAAAAATACAAAAGTTTAGTAAAATTCAAAATAAATAAAAAAAAATCAAATAAATTCGCAATATTTTAAAATAATTCAAATTAATTCGAATTATTTTAAAATATTGCGAATATATTCAAACTAATTTAAAATAAAAAAGTTTTACTGGTCCATTAATGTTCTTTGTATAATAGATATTCCACTGGCTTGGCAAATATCTTTTAATATAATTTTTATAATTTTTTTATACATACTTATTCACACCAGATTTTCATCAAAATAAATAAATTGGGAAACAATTTCTTTAGCTGCATCTTTTTTTTTTTTTTTTGTGTTTAAGGTGACCTCTTTGGCAGGGGGGCTTTTTATTAGATAATTAACAACGTTACAATTATGATGAGGGTACAACTAGCCACACGTACAACTTTTGGTTATCTATTTTAAGTGGTCCGCCTGGGTTCTACACTAGCCGCCATGCCTGCAATCTAACTAGGAGATTACCTATTTAAGCTCTCTGACTATTTACAAGTGAGAGTACGACTAGCCATACCTGCAACTTTTGGTTGCCTATTTAAACGTCTTATTTTCTGTTGCCTTGAAGATATATTTATATTATATATTTGATCAAATTGTGTTTTTAGATTTTTTTATATGTTGAATTAGCAAGTCAATAATTTATTTCTATTTCAAATTCACCTAAAGGTGGACAAATACTCAAGATTAATATAGAACCTTACCTGGCCTCTCCCAAAAACATGAATAAAACTCCTCAAAGTATCGCACTTCAGTTCTGGGTTTATGTCCCCCACGATTTCTTGCCATATATTAACACATCATCTAGGGAAATTTTTATTATGAAAATTATAATAACAGACTGCTTAGTTGTATCAAAAATCTGAAATAAAAAGATACTTACAGTTATAGATGGGGGTGAAATTAAAATTTAATTTTAGAATATTTCAACCGTTGAAATTAAATTCAACTGTTGAAACCGAATTTATTTTTAGTAGTTAAAATAATTTTAACTGTTAAAATTAATTTAACTGGTGAAATTAATTCAACTGTTGAAAATGATTTAATTGTTGAAATTAATTCAACTGTTTTAATTATAGAGAATAATTTATATATAGCGATATTAAATAATTGCATTAGAAGTGCATGTGAAGTTAATGTTCTACGTTAACTATGTAAATCAAAACTATTTGTAGTATCATAATAAATTTTATCATTGAAGATTTTTTTACTAATCGAGTTTTAAATATATAGCGATAATATAATTTTTATTATGGCAATATTTATTAAAGCAATATTTATTACAGCAATATTTATGTCGTTTGTCACGAATTTCACAATACGCCTTCAACTATAGATACTGTATAATAAGTAAGAACGTAAGAGTTTGGGGTAAATATTTTTTTATTTTGGTTTGATCGATTATTTATCAAGAAAGCCACTAATCTTTAATTCGCTTGATTTTTTATACACATTTCTTTACCCATTACATCATTGATCATCCCATTTTGACTCCTGAATTGATTACTTTCGCGTTCCTGCATTTCGTTATTTTATAAATTCGATATACCCTGCATTATTGCCAACCAACGATTTTTTCAATCTTCGACCCAATCGATCATCACATGCTTCATATATGCACAATTCGATCGATTGATTTTTCTCCCAAAAATTTTTTTTATTTTTCTTATTTTTTATTTTTTTTTTTTATTTTTATTTTTTCTTATTTTTTTTATTTTTTATTTTTTTATTTTTTATTACTAACGAATCTAATTATATAATGTTTTAAATCGATTCCTTTAATTAAGTATATCAGTTTTTTTCATCTATTTGATGCATTTCGCATCTGCATTCCTTGATTGACAAGTGAGTCAATATCAAAATCCTTTTCACCATGATCAATAACTTCATCTAGAATTAAAGGTTGATTCATATTATTCAAAGCAAGATTCAAATTAATACTATTCTCAATTTCTAGCATACTGGAATCGACTTCAGATAAATCATTCGTAATAGAATTATCTTCAAGATTATCCTCAAGATTATCTTCAATATCAAAATCGTCTTCAGAATCATATAACTGAATATCTTCTTCAAACATAGCAGCACCTGAAGTAAGCGAATTGGTATAATTATGCATCATGTTTAAAAAATCACTTTCTGAAAGATCTTGTCCAACGTAATTAAGTTCATGCCGTGCATTTGTAACATAATATGCATGTAATTTGGCCATATTTGAAACCTTTTTTATAGTTAATCTTGAATAAAATTAAAATTAATTATTAAAATAAAAAATTACAGTATAAACATATATATATGCATATGAACATACCTATTTCGACATTTTTGAGTAAACCAATTTAAAACAGAAAAAACACGCTCGCACCCTGCATTGTGAGGAGTAATTGCAAGAAGTAATAAAGCAAGTTTTTGAAGGTGATGTTGTGGCACTTTACATGCGGACCACCAGATTTCTGGAAGTTCAAGATGATCTTGAAAAAAAGAATTGTATGGAGGCAATCGGAAATCATAATTATGAATTTGCGCAATTAATTCTCGCACACTATTATCTCCCCCATCTAGTGACTTCCAAATAGTTAAAGCTTTTTGATAAATGATTTGAAATGCTTCAGAAACTAGGCCTTTACTGTGATATTTGGGGTGTAGAAAATAGGCTAATAAATAAAAGTCTGTATCGAATTCAGCCCATCTTTTGTTGTAAAAAGAAACACATTTTTTTTGAAATTCAAGTCTTTCAAGAGTTGTATCCGCAATTGGCATAGCTTTAATCGTATTAGCCATTTTAATTAAAATTAAAAACACATCAGCAAACTTAATATTTGATGCTTCAACAGTTTTAACTGCAATTTTAGCAGGTTCAAGAACTTTATGGAGACATTCAACATTGGCCCAAAATTCACGGCTTGTAATATAGCTTCTTAATTTCTTATTAAGCGCATGTGGATCATCTTCAATCATCTAATAAAGTAAATAAAAATAAAATAAAATAAAATAAATACATAAAAACAGATAGCATAGGGGTTTCCGAATTAGCTAGTGATACAAATTAATCTATCTATCAATTAATCGGATTTGTATTACTAGCCTATTTTGAAAATAAATAGTTTAAATTTTTTTCTGATTAGAAAACTAGTTTTTTTAAGCAAAACTATAATTAGATTATATAAAATATATATATACTCTAAACATGGTTTTGCTATAAAAAAAACCAAATAGGCACATTCGATAAAAAATTGTAATTGTTTAATAAATCGATTGGTAAGCGATCACTTATTTATCAAAATCAGATATCTAAACATTAATTCTAAATCCTCAAAGTAACTTACATTTCGTAAAACAGGTTCCAATTTCAAAACCGAATCGCAGCAATCCCACGCTGAACACCATCTAGTTTTAACGGATGATTTTAAACCTCCACCTTTAATAAGGAAATTTTTAATTTCATCTCTTAATTGAGCACCAGGCACATGTGAATTTTGAAAGTAAGTAACAAATTCTTGACATTTTGAAAGAACTTGAGACCCAAAAGAAGTTTTTTTAATAATATCTGCCGCTATCAGTTGAATATGATGAGCGATACAACGAATTGGTATAATATGCGGATATTTTTGGGCAACAAGATTTTTTGCAAGCTGCATTGCAGCGGCACCATCTGAAACAATGGCTCCGAATTTTTGTGAACCAATTTCATCAATTACTTTAATAATTTCATTTGATATAAACTTCCCAGTATGTGAATAGGAAGAAAAATCTTGAACCGAATGGACATATTGATGTCTTTCAGGAGTAATAATAACAAATGCGTAATAAGAATGGTGTAATCCACTCATCCAACCATCAAGAACTAATTTAATAATATATAATTTATACAATTAATTATATATAATATAATATTGTTTTTATATTTAAAAATAAACTTACCTAAGGTCAAATTTTTAAGTCGTTTAAACTGTTCATCAGTATTGATTGTAATGCGAGCAGTTTCTTGATCAACCCAAAGATTATTTAAAGTTCTTCGATCAGGAGGCATATAACCTGCATTAAGATTTTTAAGTAAATCAATAAAAAAAGGGCTTTCAACGACCCAAAAAGGGATGCCACAACAAGTAAAAAAACGAGTTAAAGCTTTGTTAATAAGCTTTTCTTGACTTTGGTCTATATGAGTTGATTGAAATTTGTCAGTAATTTTTGACTGATTCTTAGTTTCAGCTTCAATTTTTGTTCTTTTTTTTTTTGAAGGTTTAGAATTCGTTATCATATGTAAATATTTTTTTTTGATATCTCCTGGTACATTTTTACATTCTAATGCTAAATGTGATTTCATTTCACTAGGTCGTCCTCGTTGTGTAACCTCTTCACAGTATTTACACTTCATCGCTACATGCCCATGTTTATCGCGTACTCCAAGTTTAATATACTCTTTATTTACAGGGTCTTCAGGTCTACCAACCGATTTTTTAACCTTTGCTTTTTTTCTTTTTTTGTCAAATTCACTAATACTTTCATCACTAGTAGAATATTCGGAACTATCAATTCTACTTTCAGGATTTTGACTATCATCATTACTCTCATTTTGACTAATGCTTTTTGAAAAAATACTTGACATTTGAAAGAATATACACTTTGATAACGATAAATTTCAAAACTTACTATTTATACAAATATACGTATAATATATTAATTACAGTATATATTAAACTTTATTACATTCATTATTCTACTAGAATATTTTCACTATACTATTAGTCTACAGTAGAACATATTCAAATGTGCATATAATTAATGCACTAGACTAAAAAAAATTTAAAGCAGTGTTCCCAACTTAACGTCATACACTTTAATACTAATGTGATTATCCTGTTCAAATCTAGTCATATCTGGGTTAAGAATTAGTAATAATATCCTGATCCATGTAAATGAAATTACTTTTTACTCATATATGGATTCTTTCAGGGGACTAAATATCGATATTGATATCGGTATATTTTAAATTCGTGAGAAAAATTTTTTAAAGCTTATCAATATTTGCACGGGTAATAGCAAATTTTGACTATTCCAGATCAGACTGACGAAGAATCCCAACATGCACAAAAGAAGAAAAAGCGAAAATATACAAAAACTAATATTTAAATCGATCTTGGTGCACTAATTAAAATGCAGGAATAAAATTTTACATATGGGCTGCCGTCAATAGAAATAAGGCAGATTAACATTTTAAAAAAAAATTATCCCCTTAATTTTCACAGCTCATATCTCGATGAATTTTAAGCCTATTTTAATGATATAATAGACAAAAGAAAGCTTACGATCTAAGCTTTCTTTCAAATATTAAATCATCAAGATAGCTTCAAAATTCATAGAGTTACGAGCTGTGAAAGTTAAGGTATTAATTTTTTTTAAAATGCCAATCTGCCTTATTTCTATTGACGGCAGCCCATATATTAAAGCCCTAACCCTAAATTTTTATCTAACGCACTTAGTTTATTTACAAAATCGGTTTTTGCATTTATGTATATATAATTATCGCTATCTAAATTTATACTTTTATACACATTAAACTAATAACTTGATTTCTCTAATTTGTAATTCTAAATTATGGCGGTTTGCAAAAAGTGGTCTGCAGATTTTTAATGATAAATTACAGGAAATTAACATGTAAATTACCATTAAAATTCTTGATTCAATGGATTATTGCGGTTTGCATAATTTTGTAAACCTTTTTTATTAGCGCACCACTAAAGTCGGCTAATTTATAAATTTGAGTTTGAAAAACTCAGGTTTATGATAAATTGGTCAGCTTTGCAATCGCGATCGCAATCACAATTAAAAAATCAATCATAGATCATAAAATTATGCAAACCGCAACAATTCTTTTGTTCTTATCGAGGGGTGTTACAACTATGGGTTATCTGTCTCTTCCGCTTTCATACATACTAACAGTACAGAATTCAGAAGTATCGCCTGAGCAACTTAAGCTGTTACACGTATTTGCAACACTATAATGATAGCAATTTGCGGAAGGTACAAAAAAAAAAAAAAAACCAGAATTCTCCTGAAAAACCTGTCACTTACTATATAAATAGAGACATGGATATATGGCGCGATCACATAATAGGCATATAAAATGTGTTTAGTTATTATTGTTTTTACAAGATTTATACAACATTTGTGTGGGAATTTTAAATGAATAATAAAAGCACACAATTTGAAAATGTAAATCGGCGTCTCTATTTCGTATTGGACAGCATAATCTTTTATATTTTTATATTATAATACCATAGTTTGTAAATATTGATAAATTGATTAAATAATACTATTTTTTATATCGATATTAATGTATATCAATTAATTTTTAACTGTCAATATAATTTTTGCATATTATTAATTTTTATATTTTAATTAATTTTAATTATTAAAATAATTTTTGAATATAAATTAATTTTTACATTTTAATAAATTTCAACTATTGAAATTTAATTCGGCATCTTATTTTTAAAAAATTCTTGGTGAAATTATTTAATTAATTTCTACCGTAGAAATACTTTAATTTCACCCCCATCTATAGTCATAGGTCCACCCACGGGTGACCCGGGTGGCATTTTTTTTGACGGGTCCAATCACTACGTTATCTATCTAAATCTAAGGTTCAAAAATTTTTTTTGGGGTTTAACATTATTAATTACAGACAAGTTTGTTTTTTGTTGGTAACATTATACAAGTATTTTCATGAAATGCTTGGAACATCTATCGTATCTTCTAAAGTTCTAGATTTGGACTTATGAACTAGGCCCTTAAGTTCAGGACTTAGAACCAGGTCCTTAAGTCCGAGACTTAGAACAAGGTCCTTAAGTCCGGGACTTAGAGCCATACTCTTAAGTTTGGGACTTAGAACCAGGTTCTTAAGTCTGGGACTTAGAATCAGGTCTTTAAGTCTGGGACTTAGAACTAGATCCTTAAGTCTGGGACTTAGAACTAGCTCCTTAAGTTCTATATTTGGACTTAGAACCAGGTTCTTAAGTTTGAGACTTAAAGACCTGGTCCTAAGTCCAAATATAGGACTTAAGGACTTAAAGACAAAGTTATAAATTCTGAACTTAAGGACTTAAAGCATTTTTTAATTTAAGAACTTAAAGACCAGAGTTTGAGTCCTGGACTTTACTATTTCTAATTAGGACCTATAGCAAACCTATGAACCTAGGTTCAAAAATTAGAACCTAGTTTTTAAAAACTAGGTTCCAAGACCAGGTCCTAGAGTCCCAGACCCAAGGACTTTACCATCTCTAACTGTATATGTGATAATACTATTTTATCTTTCTAAATAACAATTTTAGAGCATATTTATTATTTGTTTCAGATAAGTTGAATAAATTTAGTTGCTTCAGGCAAGTTGAATATTTACTGTCAGATTCAACTGTACTACTTCAAGTTTTTAAATATTTACTATAAATAAACAAGCCCAAGATTCCTTAGTCGTTCGATCAACTGGTTTAATATTTTTAGCTGATTTATGCAAATGAAGTCATATTGATTTTTACTTTGATTTTCTCAATACAGCTTTGATAAATATTAATAAAATCTTGTTGTTTATAATTAAACTTGCGTTATATTTTTTTTAATCCAGTTAATAAATTTTTGTTCATATCGAACTTTTTTTTTATTAGTATCTGCTCATGTAATATATTTGTTATAGATCTTATATTCAGAATCTTTTTATACCTGTATTTTTTTGTTAAAATCTATTGGTTGTATTGGTTGGCAAGAACAATCTTCGCTATAAATTTTCATACAAATCAAACACACCAAATATACTAGACATGCATTCAAGTGAAACTTAATTTTAAATATGTTGACATTAGTGTCATTCAGAATACTATCACCATGTATCAAAATACATCAAATTAAAAGTTTATTATTGTCGAATCAATATCTTATCGAACCAGCCAAATAATCATTCAGTTAATTTTTTACTAGATGTCTCAAAATTTATGAGAACAGCTATAAGGATCGAATCCTTGCTGGTTCTTGAAGGACCAGACTGGACTGGCTAGGATTCAATCCCAAATACTAGTAAAATCAAACATTAATCAGGAATTTACTGTGGATAATATCAACTCTCGGTACACTTTTCTCTTGAACTAGTAAAATAATTAATATTTAATTGGTAAATTGTTTTTAAAGGGAACAAAAAATGATAATCCTTATAATAAACAAAATTGGAAATTTATATGGGGGTGAGTCAATAGAAAAGGGACAAATCATTTTTAGTAATTTTTTTTTAATTTTTAAATTAAAATATCTC